GCATGTGTCATATACTTCACATAATAAAATCAAAATTATATATCTCAACAAGAAGAAGTACAATTTTATCAAAAACAAAAAGAAGTACAGAACTACATCTTTGATAAAAAAAAGATGCAGAATGGGAAAATGATTGTCATTTTGCACCGGCCAGGACAAAATTACGTATTGATGAATTTGGCTTTATTTGCTCATTGTTTGCTCATTGTTAGTTATCCAAAAAAGGAAAAGAAAAAGACTTAATAATTTTCATATTTTATAAAACTTTCAACGAATACCAACTCTACAGCCCTTTACAACAACCTCCCTCCACACCACAAATAAAAAAACTACATTCGTACAATAATATAATGATTATAAAACGAATGATTATAAAAAAGAAAATAGAATAAAATGAATATTAAAGGATAATATAAATTGAAAAAGAAGAAAAGAATAATTAAGAGCAAAGATGACATCCAATAGCTTAAAACTACTCCTTTTAGTTTTTTTTTGTCGTGTCTAGCTAACTTTCATGGTAACAACTTCTTAGAGTTCTTGACATAAGATCCAATAGCTTTTTATCTGATATTTGTATATTAGAAGAAGAAGTAGTATCTTCTGTTTCTGCGTTTGCGTTTGAACCGCAAATCTTTTCGATTTGAACACCAATATCTTTAGCAAGCTTTTCAGCACCATCTCTAGAGAGAATGGTATCAAAACAAACGTATCTACCAAACGCGGTTTTATTACCCAAACCTTCCCATAAACATACGTGAGCTTTAGCCAACCTGTTCACATCCATTGTCGCTAATAATCCGTTGCTATACATCTCTTTCGCTCCTGAAATTTTGGCCAATAATTTTATCAAAAATTAGGAAAATGTCAACACATATTAGCTGTCTTTGTCTCTCTATTGAAATGGACCACCCGTGAACTACGTACGCATATGCCAAAAAAATATTTTGTTTAATAATTAACATTATTCTTGGACGGTTTTGGATTCACAATATTTATTCACTAATACTGTATATAAAGTTTACCTTTGAGATAAGCCAATGTTGAAGTGGAGTTACGGTTGAAGAAATCAGGACCGGTTATAAGAGCGGGACATATAGTTGCAAGCTTTAATCCTTTTGCTTCTGCGATTCTCCAAGCAGCTTTCTCAGCTCTCAATTTTCCAAGAGCATACCAAAGCTGTGGAATTAATATAAAAGGACATTGTTAATTATGGGTTTTTGGATCTAGAGATAATATGAACATGTAAGTTAATATGATTTTTGTATGTATTTTACCTTGTTATCGATGCAGAGTTGTTCATCACTCCAGCTTTCTTCGTTGATAACAGAGTGATCAAGATTGTTAAAGGAATTGTCTTGCCAAGCGCAGGCTAAGAGAGATGATGTGAACACGCATTTTCGGACCGACCCTGTTCTTGTACATGCTTCGATTACATTCTCGCTCACTTTTGCTTCTAATTCCGCCATTGATTTCTGTAAAACATTAACAAATGCAAACGGGTTACACACTAAACTGTGAGATAAATCTGTCTGTAATTGAAAAAAGATGAAATAAAATGAACTCCTTTCTTAGTAGGACCAGTTTTGTTTTTCTGTTATTGATCTGATGATGACATATACGTATGCTACATGTTTCCTACTGAATTACATGTTATGGTACTTACACGTTTCAATAAATAGTGGCCAGAGATAAGGTATTGGTACCAATCACATCGTAATCAAAATTCACACAAAAACCGTTTCTAGATACCTATCACTATCAGTAGGTAGACAAGATGTCTCTGAGGAGAGCTCACAGTTATCTCTCAAACAAGTGGAACCTATCAATCTAGAATGGTAAAATTTTTCATAATGCGAATTAAGTACTATATAAATTTCTTCTCGAATCAGGAGGTAGTTGATGATGAGTATTGTCAAATGTCAACAACAACAACAAAAAAAAAGAGAAATCACTCAAATCTCAATTAAAGTTGCAATCTTTTTCAAAAGACAAGTGTTGAAATTTCACAATGCAAAAGCTATCAACTCTATTTTTCTTAATTTTTTTTTTTTGGTTATAAAGAGCTATCAACTCTTTCAAAGTTTCAATGACACTTGGTTGAGGATGATTATTTTCTTTTCAACAAAAGGAGAAAACAGAACCAAAGCAAGGAGACAAAAAATCTTAAGTTTTTGAAAGCAAAATGTAAAATATGGCATATTGAAATTTATGGTTGAAAAATGTACTATATTCAACAAACATTCAGAAAAAAAAAACTACTTACTAAGTACCAACCTCAACTCATAACCACTTTATTAACAAAAAGCAGAGCAGCCACTTAAAGGTGTTCTAGAAAGTAGATGAAACAAAACGAGGGAAAAAGATAAACCTCTAAATTCTAAAGCAAATTAAAATGACAAATCTATGAAGCTAAACATTCTCATATTCACACATGACATGAAAAACGCCAGAAAAAAATTGTTTTCTACTAACGAATTTTTTTTTATAATTTAAATACGCAGAAACTTAGTTATATAGCAAAGCCCTTGAGATAAAGCCACAAAGGGAAAGGAAATGTTTGGAAGACTTTAAGTGTACGTATCTCTCAAGTGGTGTCTTCGTACGAATGCATGAGTGAGTGTACGTATCTTCATTACGA